TGGTTGGGTAAGAGTCAGGCAGAAAGAATTGATGCCTTGGCTATACAGACATTGGAAAGTGTTTCATCCATCCTGCTTTGCTTCCTCTAGTCCCAAAATACAGCATTTTCTGTTCCTGGTATATAACACTACATCAGAGAAGATTAGGAGAGCAACATTTATAGGAACACCAGTGTATGATTTTATTTATCTCAGTGGAAGAGTGGAAGGACACACAAGGTTAGTATAGCCCTCCTCAATATAAAATAGCAGAGGAGGTTTCTGGCTAGTCCAGAAGCTCTAGAAAGGGTTCATATACAGCAAGTTCACCAGTGGTTCAAGTGTAAAGTTTTCACTTGATACTGTAATAGACTAGTCATGCACACACCCATCACTTTCCCCAGCTGAGCAGGAGGAACTTATGAATGCAAGCTGTTCATTACTCCAGTCAAAGCAACCAACCAAGAGAGCATTTCAGCTTTGCTTAAATCACCATTGATAGCTTTCAGTCACAAGGGCCATAAAGACAGTGTAGAAATGAATGGTGGAAGTAATTCCCTAAACTACTAGAACTGTTTTAGAAGCGACTAACAATACCTTTTGAATTGCTTCATACTACTTGTCAGGCTTAGAAGAGTCCTTTGCTTCTCAGATGCATATGCAAGACTGGACTTACTGGGGAGACTACGGGAGCTTTCATCTTGTGCTGCGTGCTCCTGGGACAGTTGATGGGAGCAGCACCAACACATGGTTATATCAAATGCATTGCTTCTAGCACACTCCTTCCTCAAATGCGTGACAACTAATCATCAATACTGAACTAAATAGTAATCTTGTTAATTAACATATGCATGTTTAAACTATACAAAGATAATGAACACAAAAATACAACTCCAGTACTTCTAAAAGGGAGGCCAGCTGGCCAGCCTCCTCATCTTCCTCTTTCTTTTTGCTGGCTGTTATTTTCTTCCCTTATTAATGCAATTGTGAATTCTACAGAATGGAGACAATAAGAAATGCACATCCAAGCTACACGTCTGGTTACTTTTACTATCGTATTTGTTCACCCTCCGTCTTTAAAACCACACACACACATACTTGTGTTTAGCAAAGTCTTGCATTGTTTTAAAATTATTATACCCAAACAACGTTTTGACCCTTCCTCTTCTTTTGCCTGACAACTTGCAAAAACTCTGTTTTGTTATCAGCTAGGAAGTGCAGTACAACTTACCGTAAGCAAGTAAGGATAACTTCAGATTTGTAATAAGAGCAAATACTCAGTGTAAGAACAATTGCTTCTGGAGAATATATTTTCATAGATTGTAATACCCTAGATAAATTAACTCTAGGTACTTACCATATTTGTAAAGCATGGACAGGCCTAACATATTTGCCCTAGGGTACAAAAAGTTTATTCTGCTCAAGAATCAACACTATGTTGTAAGACTTGCTTTTAAAATTAAAATTATCCTTTTTTAAGGATAAGAAATGGCTTTCTAAGCATAGCTGAAAGATATCAGCTTATAAAATGTATTCCTCCTTTGACCAATTTCTGTACTCTGCTCCTTATTTGGAAAAGTGATGTACTCATTGAAAGGCTTCTTAAAAAGTAATGATACTCTCCACTTTGAAAACTGTTTTCTCACGTTATGGCCATTTAAGTACCTTTCATAGCTCCAGCAGCCCTATATGTATCAACACACTGAAATACAGGTACACATTTTTCATTCCTAGGATAAGATAATCAATCTGAAGACAAATTAAAATATCATAGAAATACATTTTCAGTTGGCGTTAAGAATTATCAGTAACACTCAATACTAGAGGTGAAACGCATTTTGACATTAGAAATTTATGAGAGGTATGAAACCATTATGTTTCCAGACTCAGATGTATGGCTCCCAATAAACTAGCAGGTCGTACATGTTAACAGGCTTATAACAAATCACAGAATCATAGAATCATTAAGGTTGGAAAAGACCTCTAAGATCATTGAGTCCAACTGTCAACCCAACACCACCATGCCCACTAAACCATGTCCCTAAGCGCCTCATCTACACGTCTTTTAAATACCTCCAGGGATGGTGACTCAACCGCTTCCCTGGGCAGCCCGTTCCAAGGCCTGACCACTCTTTCAGTAAAGAAATTTTTCCTAATGTCCAATCTAAACCTCCCCTGGCGCAACCTGAGGCCATTTCCTCTCGTCCTATCGCTTGTTACTTGGCAGAAGAGACCAACCCCCACCTCGCTACAACCTCCTTTCAGGTAGTTGTAGAGCACGATGAGGTCTCCCCTCAGCCTCCTCTTCTCCAGGCTAAACAACCCCAGTTCCCTCAGCCACTCCTCATAAGACTTGTTCTCTAGACCCTTCACCAGCTTCGTTGCCCTTCTCTGGACACGCTCCAGCACCTCAATGTCCTTCTTGTAGTGAGGGGCCCAAAACTGAACACAGGATTCGAGGTGCGGCCTCACCAGGGCCGAGTACAGGGCAAATCAACAAAATATGTACAATTATACCAGGTTCTTCTAGTGAAAAATTAAAAATGCATAGGATTTTTGGATGTCTTCGTTTTTTATTTTGCCCCTCCTGTTAATACCATTAGCACTTTGTATTTTGAAATGACACTTGCCAGATGTATTGAGTTGCACGTTGTAGCACTGCATTATAAAGCTGCATGACTGTGCCAGCAATGACTTCAGTGACCTAACTCAGCTACAGACGGCTGAATCTCTGCACTACTTTTTTCCTTAGGGGGAAGGTGTGAGTTATAAAGCAGAATTCAAAATGTTTCCCAGCTATAGCCATGTTTCCCAACAGGCACTGAAAAGACTGCGTCTGTGTATAATTATGAGAGACATTGTCTGGGGATGCCAACTGCACTGGCATATGAATGTTTTTAACTCACTAAACATGTCAGAACTCAGCAGCATGCTTATCTAAAAACCAAAATATTACTTTTGATGTTTTAGGTATGCAAAAATTCAGAGATAAGGTAATGCTAAAACCTTACACGTTTAGGCTAGAGCAGTAAAGTTTTTGTTTTGTCTATGAAGGGATTCTGAAAATAAATTTGTTAAGGCTTTTTCAAACTCAGTCTTAAAATTTTGCTACTGCAATCTAATTTAAATAAAGCTTTTATTAACCCTTTTATGAAGAAACAAGCTTAAAATCTGTTGACTCATACACAAGTTACAAGATAAAACATATTTGTTTCCAGAAGCTTTGGTGTCACTGTTAGTTTGTTTTCTGGAGAAAGGATTGGATGATTCAATGTTAGGCAATATTTTTTGTATTGTGTCATAGAATATTCCCTCTATTCTATTTTTTGTCGTAAGTAGTAATGAATTACTTTTTATAAAGCACAGAAATGTTTCACAGTGAAATAGATTAAAAGTCACTCCAGACAAAAAACTATGCTAATGTGTCTCCTGTCTACTACACTTAGTGACACTATAAGCACCTTTGCTGTCTCCCAACACACTTATACAACTCTGAACTACCACTTCAGACAATGACCTACTGCATGATCAGTTAAAAAACCCACTTCTTTAAGACATAAATCCATTAAAAAAAATCTAGATCTTAGTGCAGTGGGATAAAATACCATAAATATGGAAGAAGTGTTTAGTGCCCTTTATTGTTTATTGCCCTTTATTCACCCTCATATAGGATGAACATATATTACCACTTCTTGATGCATTCCCTAGTTAACTATACAAAGTTTACTATACTCTCCGGATGACATATGAATCCGATGCCATTTCTTAAGACACAGCAACAATCTGAGAGTCTGAGAGAAACCTTTCATACAGTGAAGAACTAAAAAAAGAAAAAAGAAGGAAAAAGCTCCCCCCAAAGGGTTTTTTCCTTTAAAAGTAATTCTTGATCTGTGGACTTTTAGTAGGTGATGAAATATCACACAATCTAAAAAAATATTGCAAATATTATGTATTTACATATATATTTTTATACGCACACAAATAAAATTTGGCAAAAATGGAACACTTGAAGTTAACTTAGTAATTATCCTGGCAATAACAATTGCAGGCGTAGCCATGAGGAAGCTCTTTTCCACAGCAGGCATTCAGTGTGTTCACTGAAACCCCAATTACTTCCAGCGGTAGAGTTAGTACCTTTTAAAATTATACTCTGCTTATGTGAGAGTGAACTGTCACCATGCCATCCCTGATGAACAATGCAGGACATCAAATAGCCCATATTTCTTGTCCTGCCCAAATAGCTAGAAATCTAATTGGGGCAGAGGAAAACAAAATAGGATAAATACAACCATATGAGTTAGGCAGGAAAACAGAAAAAAACCATATGGGCTTATGTGGAAACAAACACAGGTACCTATCCATGTAGTGTTTCTACCCAATGCATTAGTGAAACATTTTTTCAATTACCAGTCTGCTATATTCTTTCCCATTAATAGGGTGGTTTCACAAGCCACTGAACTGTATCTTTGATATTCATGATAACCATTCCTAACTGTTTGTGAACTACACCACTTAAATCCCCTCAAATGTCTGTTTATTTTCTCTTGTAACATATTCCTACAGTGTGAGATTAAGAGACACAGAGTAGGCCTTCAGGCACTAAGAATGTAAGTTAGCCTAATCTCAAGAAAACAAGATGTGTTAACACTTAACCATAAGTATTTTTTTATAATCACATCAAACATAACATACCTGGAATTCAGTTTTATATAAATTAGTTCTTATGTCAGATCTACTTCTGAGGTTATCCAAAACCCAAACACATAACATTATTTTTACTCTTCCAGGTCTGAATAGTATTTACAGACATTAATGCTATATTCATTTCTACAATCATTCGAGACACATTATATAACTTTATTTTTTTTTATTTGACAAGCAGCAGTATCATGTTCGTCATTATTTTTACATTTTAATGTAGATACAATTATTAGGTTATCTGTCATATTACAATATTTAGGGGTTTTTTTTGTTGTTGTTGTTTTTGTTTTGTTGTTTTTTTTGTTGTTTTTTTTTTTTTTACTTTGTCTTAAGATACATTAAAAAACATCAACTGCAAACGTGAAAGGGGAGGAAAAAAAAAAGCATGGTACCCAACCAATTTTCCACATTTCAGCAATACTTCACTCGTTCTTTTAGTAAAGTTTTAAGAAATGTCATAATGACATGAGCTTGAAATATCTATAGGCATTTTCATTGACGCTCATGACATGGCACTGGTGATGTTGTAAACAGCAGAAAAACAGGGGCTGCCAAGTGACCAATTATGGAAGCACAGGCCTGCCTCTTCCCACAGGAACACACCAAACAGTGACAGCAATGATCTCCTTACAATCATACCTGCAGGATAGCAACATCATGCTACATAACTGTATTCGTCTGCAGAGGCCTGGCTTCGCTCTATGTACTGTTTGTCTATCAGAACTTCAATACACTTCTTAATCATGCTGATACTTGGGTTAAACCTAGCTCTTGATTGGCTAATTACCTGCAAAAGAAAGACACGTTTTTTGTGTTATTTTTATTTACAACAGTTAAAAATGCTACAGAAATACTCGCTAAGGGCACTAACGCAAACTCAGTATATTTTTCTTTTAAAGCCAGGATTAAATAAACCTGGAATAGTTCATTTATAACAGTCAACAAAGCTTCTCTATACATTAGTGTCAGGACACTTAAACCAACTGTTCAGCTCATTGGTTAGTTTGCCTGCATGTTAACCAGATCTTTTCAATCCTCTTGCTTGCTTAATTTGTCACAGTACAAATGAAGATAAATATTCTGGTTAAAAATTAATCTAATATTAACACATTTCTTCACTTTATTATTATCACAGTTTAAGCAAAGTGAAAATTTTGTAAATCCATATGTGCCTTTCCATGCTGGCTCTGCTAACTGACTTCTCTTCCTAGACTAGGTCCCTTTTACTGCTGTTTATGTACTTTCATTGTTCTGGAATATTTAATTTATGGACTCCCAAATTTTGTTTGAGTTACGTCAGTCTTACTTGGAAATTAAATGCCTGAAGAATGTGTTAATCTTAGTTTTCATAATAGTTTATACAATTCTGAATGGTTAAATTTCACTTGATTGTAATTTTCAAAACTACCTCTAAAGTCGAACACAATTTTCTTCTCATCCATCACCATTTTTGTTATCATAAAAAGATAGAGAAGATATTTTCATTTAATAAAGATTCATGAAACCTGTGTTTTCTTTACAGCATTAAAAAGACATGTTTAAAAGACATGTAAACAGGTACATAGCAAATTACCAAAAAATCTGACTATAATGTTATAGTAAGACCTTATTGATAGCACAGTTTAAATATATTAAAAATGCAACCTATCCTCAGAACTTTTACTGCACTAGACAATCAAATTTGCAAGACAAAAAAACCACTCCTGTTTCAGGAAATTTGCTGAAAAGCCCTAGATGACACTTTTCATCAGAAAAGACACGGCCCAAATAGTAATCATTTTGTAGAGTTACACTACTTCATTGCTGTTGCAGTTGCCAGGATATGAGATGTGAGCTGGATCCCCTGCAGTGCTGTATACCTGGTCCTGGAAGGCACTCGAACTGCTCAGGTGTCTGGAAAGTGTAAATGGAGTCCCCCTACCACTGACCTCCTTTCCTATACAATTTGAGACAATCAGGATGAACCTCTTTCCTCAGTCACTGAAGATAGCCCTTCGATTTGGCAAGTTCCATCTGGCTATGCTGGAACTTTGCAATACATACAGTAAAAAATTATTTATTGTAAAAACAAATGTATATATATGTATTGTGGAAGAAACTGCCACTGCAGGCAAAACTTCAGATGTCTCTTAGTAGTTCTCAGTTTTGCTCATTCTCATGTAGAGAAGAGGAGAAAATGGTGTGTAGTAACAGAATATGCGTATCTATTAACTTGGAAAATTTTTCAAACAAAAGATCTTACTACTCAGGTGTCACAATATATTTTGCCTGTAGTTTCTCATTTGTTCTGTAAAAAAAGTGATTTTTATTTCAGCTGGATTTCCTGTTTTCTTTACAACTTTTCACAGCTGGCTTTGTCCCAGCTCTAGAGCTTGCTGGAGCCCTCTGTGAGCCAACAGAACTCACCAGGTAGAATTCACCCAGCAAAGAAAACAAAAAGCTCAAAAGAGCAAGCTTTGTCGGGCTAGCAGCCAAGGGTCTGGTACATTCCACAGCAGTACAAATGAGAAGAAACTTGGTGCTAACAAGCTGATAGGTCTGCTCAGATTTCACCTAACTTCAGTCCTATACTCAAACCGATTGTCATCATCATACTTCATGTATTTACTTAGGACAGAGAGAAGAAAAGGTAGGATTTTGTATTGGTAAGATTTTTTTGGTTTTTGTTTTATTAAAGATAATACAAATAAGAAGGTTGGATACAAATACCTGATGGTCAGAATAAAAAATTTTCTGGGAATGACTGCACTGATGTTTTCCCTCCACTACTCCCACTGACCTTACTCATTTTAAGGGAAAAGCTACCTCATCCTGCAAGCGACTGCAGCATGGAGCTAGAAGCAAAACTATCAGGGTGTATCTAACACAATTAACAATTCAGCAAAGACCACATGTTAACATATAGAGGTCTACTGAGGGCCTTGAGTATTTTCTTGGACACCTCATCCTAAATGAAATGTGTGGTGCTGGAGTCTAACTGTTAGAATCAGAGCTAACTACATTAAGGCTAGGGGTCTTTGAATCATACCTCTAATAACAATATAATTCTGCCGTTATATCTCAGAAAAAATATTAATGAGTCAAGAAAATATTAACCATTCACTCCTTTCAAAAGATTCATTCTTACTCCTCAAGAAGTCAGACTAGAAATTTTAAGTGAATACATTATACATAAGTATATAAACATCATGATAAAAGTAACAGTGTCACCATAATTAGTAACAATATCACAAATGAATGTTTTAAGAAATAAAAAGGCTCTTGACGGTAAATCAAATCTTACTACTAGGTTTACAGGGGAAAAAAAAGGAATTTGGACAGCCAAGAAGTTAGTTATGTATGCTCTAAAAGTTTAATAGAAGTGATGGTTATTAAGTTTTTAATAAAGGTCAGTCTAGTGAGAAAGCTGAGCATGTTCAACTCAGAACCACCTGGCAGTTTGGCCTTATTCATACAACATGAAGCAAAACAAGTTACTGAGCTCAATGCAGACATAACTAAAAACTTCCACTTAACATGAGATTTCCATCTTTGTGTTTAAGCATTAACTATACAAAAATGTGTCTCCCCACAATTTGCTCTAAAACCTGGCAATAATAAGTGCCTAAGAGTACATCTATATCACAGACTGTAGAGAGGACACCTAACATTTTAAAGAATCAAGCTCAGGTCCCAGTAACAGTTTAGCTGAGGCAGCATGGAGATTGACACAAATTAATTCAGAGTGCAAAAAAGAAGGAAAAATTAACCCTAGTGGATTTTTTCATACTGCTTCACCTTATTGCTTGAGGTTTCACAATTGCTCATTCAAGGCTACATCAAGTCCCCACACTACACTGCAGCATAGATATTAACTATTTAAAGCCTAGCCTTCAGTTTTAAATGCTCTAATCCATCTAGGATATAAGTAGTATTCAAAATTGAGAACTAAAGACTAAATGATAAAAGAAATTATTTTCAAGAGAGTCATAAATTTAGTTAAAAGCCAAGGTGAAAAAACAAAACAGGTGGATTTGGCTGGCGATAGATAAATGGAGCACCAACTTTACTCTCTACCTAGTTTTTAACTGAGTAACAATCAAAATATCCACCTTTCTTGCAAAGCATGAAAAAGCTCCTGATGTTAATAGACCATACTTTTCTGCAAGAGTACTGCAAGAGCAAAATGCAGCAGAGGCATGTCAGATAGTGCCTCCTGAGTTAAACAAAGGAAGAAGCAACCAGAAAGGATTTTTTGTAATCTATTCCACCATTATAAACTGGACTCAAGCAAAGTACACTTTGAAAACTTTTTCTAAGAATTTGAAAAAAAAGTATTTTCAAAGATGAAACAGGGCTTGCCTACCATCTTCTAGTTTTAATTGTAAATTCCTACAGGATTTAATTATAATTGCATGGATGATTTAAGTAACAGGAAACCAAATAACCAAAGATTTTGAGTAGTAATCAGGACCTACGCTGCCTCATCTTTTAGATATTCGAAATCAGGTTTGCTAAATTAAGCTACCTTTCAGAGTATTTTTGTTAGCACTATTACAATATCCAAAACCTTTAAGATGTCTCACATTGCAAGTTCTGGGCTTCCAAGCTCTCTGTAGCTGCTTATTTCTTTTAGGAAATAAAAATTAAGTGGTGGGTGTGGTAAACTCTTTCCTTCCATCACCACAAGACATAAACATACAGCAGATCTCAAAGTGACTGAATGCCTCTCCACCTCCATGCTCAAAATGGTCCAATAAAGCAAGAATCTTTATTCCCTCTCCCAGCAGTCCACTCTGAGGCTATCCAGCAAGGTTCAGGAGACACAGGAATGAATTAGACTGAAGAATGAATGCCTTGGAAGGCTGAGAAAACTAAAAATGGGAACTGGTTGGTAGGAGCAAAGGTTACGTTGGAGTAAGAAATACAATTAGGCAGGCAACTAGCACAGATGGGAAAGTGCGAGAAAAACAAAAGAAATAGCACTTCCTTCCCAGCCAGTCTGTCACAGTTCACAGATCATTAATCTAGAATCTAAAAAATCTAGACAACTGTACCACTTAATGGAAAAGGGAGATCAAGAAATGCATGTCTACGTACTAAGACAACTTTTAAAATTTAAGCCATGAATTAGAATAAAATCACAATTAGAGCTCAAAATTGGCTAGGTGCTTCTATGGGAATTCCATACCTAGAATACCCATACTCAGGTTTTCAATTGAACCTATAGCTCTGGCAATGATTCTTACAGGATACGACATCTGTCGGCATAGAACCACCCAACAGGAAAGAGCAAGCACAGAGGCACTTAATGCTTTAGTGCTAAGACACATTTCAAGATTGAGGGATCACAGCTAGTGCCCCAGTACCGCAGTTCAAAGTAGACTCCATGAAATTCTCACTAATTTCACTGAAGTATTAGTTTTGACATGGGAGAGTTTTGTGGTCAGATGATTTACTCAACTAACCTGTAAGATTTTCATCAAATCATGTTTAAGAGGAGGATTTCATCTTACCTCCTGAATAAGAGCATTATGTCGCAACACTTTACGTGCTTTCATGATACGGACTATAGCAGCTTGAAGATACATTTTTCTGTCTTCATCTACAGCACTTCTGGTCTGCTCCATCTCCTGCGATATAGAAAGAACAGTAATGCTTAAAATATAGTCAGATCAATAAACACTTCATAAAAGTATCCTGAATCTATACTTTTTGCTTTATTAGAAGTGGTCAATTAATACAAAAATCTAGGTGAAATTCAACTCCAGGCAAAGTACTTCCATAAATCAAGAATACCAGGTTTCATGAAAGTCAGCGGGAAGGTAGGAGAGAGACATTCAAACCAGCATTTTTGCTAAGGAGAAAGGCAGACAGAATTTACTATAATGTATTGAGTTTGGAAGCGCATACATTTCTTGTACAAAATCCTGTGTCTTAGGAGATAGACAGGCAACACGGATTATCAACACTGGAGTTAATTTTAGTTGATGAAGGACACAAAACCATAGGAAAGCAGATTGGTTCTGCTGTTCCTGGAATAAGCTGCTTTTATAAACACCACGAACAAAAAAGTCTCATTAGATAAGACAAGCTAAATGTCAATCCCAATTGGTACAAGAGAAATGCCTCTTCTTTATCTTTTTCTTCCTCTTTCATATTCCCTATTCCATCTTCTCCGGCCTATATTTTAAGTACAAAAAAATTTGCAGTGCTTAAGCTTTAAACTTAAACAATTTCTTTACAGTGATGTAAATCTTACACAAGGACTCTTATGTCTGCTTACACCAAACTAATACAATAAATTCAATTTTAGAAAAATAAGCTTCCTAATATGTTCAAGCTAGAAACATCAAAGAATACTTGCCTGTGGTGTGTCTTTCTGCATTGATGTAGTAATTTTAAATTTTGTTCGTTTACTGCTGAAGTTCATATTTAATGAAAACGTAGACTCTGTCTCTATATCTTCCTGCAATAAAGAATCTTTTTAAAAAATCAGAAATGGAACAAGACAATGATAACAATTTACTTTGAAAAATCACAGTTAGGGGCTTGCATACATACAAACAACTTCAGCAGATTTGTAGTTGGAAATTCTAAAATGCCACTTGAACCAGGGCAATTTTTTAAGTTGCAGTTTAACTAACCTAAAAATCAAGTCTATTTTAGAGAACACTATAAAGAACTCTGACACACATGAATATTGTTAACAAGTCAATATGATTAAAGCAATTTCAGTTTTAATACTTCGACAGCTTATCTTAGTTGCAAACACTCTCCATTTCAACTCATTTTCTCCCTTCAAAGAAAGTAGGATTTGCATTTATTTATGGCAGAACCTCAAGAGAGAGCTGTTGCTTTCACAACTATTACTAATGTTGCCTTCCAGAATTTAAGGAAACACATCTAAGCATTTTGTTATGTTATAGCAGAAACAGTTGACAAACTGTTCTACAGTTCCATATCTATCTCTACATTTCTAATTTTTCCTGTCAGAATCTCAATTCTTTTCCACACATGTAAAAGTCCGTTTCTTTCAATAAACAGTAACTACTCCCTGCAGTCCAAACACCTTTACATTCAACCAACAGGATGACCTGACCAATCTGTGCTGTTTCCAGGCACGAGTCTGTACAAGTATTACCAATTTCCAGCAGAATAAAGTTACTGGGCTTCTTAGACTTTGGAATCTTGCCAAACCATGGTTGCCTCAAGTGCAAATACTTTAGTAAACACAGTCAATATTTATCTAAATATATACTCAAAACAATATTAATTCTAATTTTATATTCTGCAACAAATATTCTTTATTATAATATATTATAATATCCAGGCATAGTATAGAAAATTTAACATAAAAACGCAAAGATCAACAGCTTTAAGAAATATAAGCTAACATTAAATTTTAGCACTATTGTGCTTACATGGTTGAGTATAACCCAAAATAAATTGTGTTGTGCATGAACTCAAAAAGCATGATTCTAATGAACCAACAAAGATTTTGCCAAAAGTTTTTTTTTTTTCTTTTTTTTTCTCTTTCAAAAAACCCCAACCAAACAAAAGCAAACTACAGCATTTAATACACTGTACTTTTCTGTGCTCAGATACAGGTAAAGAGAAGTTAGTGTATTTAATTTCACTGGTTAAGCCACTACAGTTCACTGGCTTATTCAATAAGTAAGCTGACAGACTGTCTACAGATCAGCTTTCACATTGCTGGATGGAGTGCAAGGAAAATAGAATTAGCAGAGATGTTTGACCACAATAGCCTGCAAGTTAAAGAATCAGAAAACGTAGTGGTAAACATTAAAAGGTAAAAGGCTTGGAAAGCTATACCATTTGCTCTTCAATGACGTATGCTTAAAGAGACTGGCCAAACCTGATAAGGCAGATATAAATAAATGTAAATCCTTTAAATAATGGGCAGCTTTCTATGATTATGAAAAATCTCACTGTTTTCTGTAATAGCTCCCAGTGTTATATTTCACCCATGGTTTAACAGACATCTTCCCAGCCACTGTTTCAACCTCAGCTCATTTCTAGATATCGGAAGCATGTCCTATGCTTCAGCCAACCATCAGATCTTCCTTGTGATCTCACTTTCCATTTTCTAATATTTTCCTGGTTAAAAAAAAAAAGCAGCTATCAGAGCAGCTTTGGATTTCTTCTCCTAAGCGAAGCGAACAGTTTATCTCAGTTTCTCCTGCCTGATACTGTCTGAATAACTTGGGCTTTCTGGGCTAGCTGGAAGCACATGCTGAAATTTGTATGGAATGCACAGGCACTTCTGTAGTGTTTCTTAACAGACATCTGTGCCCTTTGCAGTATGGGAAAAAGGGTAACTGGATTCACGTAGGTTGTACAGAAGTATGAGGCAGACTCAAAAACAGAACCTGTATCAACCATTGCCTTAACCACAAACAAAGCTCAAATATTACTAGAATTCCATGAAACTAATGGAATGACGGAGTTTGGCTAGTTGCAGAAAAATCCCCTCACACAAGCCCCCCTTGCTCCCCTTCCTCCTCCCTCCTCCTCCCGTAATGTGTCAGCAAGAACATGGTTGCTGTTACTTTCAGTCTCTTAATCCCACAATTATTTTTTTCAGGACCTGTATAAGACTCTTTGGTTTACTACTCAGGCTCCTTCTCACGATTCAGTACAACTTTGAAAGTGGTGTATTTAAAGAGTATTACCCTCCAACAGCAGTGAGTCTAAAGCCATATGGATGAAATGCAACAGAAACAATAAAAAGTCCTAGCATTATTACCTTTTCAGCATACCATGCTGTTATAAGCATACAGAGCAAACAAAGATAGTCTACTTCTTCCTGTCTCTTTCCTTGTAAATACAAATTCATAATTGTTCACAAGGGTCAATAATACAGTTTAGGAAAAAAAGGCAAACAGTGGATTCTTTTACATTAAAAAAAGCCCTCAACAAATAGTAGAATCACAAAACTGAAAATATGAAACTTTTTTATACCATTACTGCATACCTTGTCTGAGTCATGGTTGATCATTTTGACATCAAGTAAGGATTTGATGGTTTTTGTCAGTTCCTTCTCATTCATTTGTGTACTATCCTGAAGCTCCTTGTAACTGACAGTTTCACTGTTGTTGAAGGCAAGCAACACTGCCATTTGGTATGTTGTGACCATGGCTACATAAGGTTTGCACAAATAATTCATTTTTACTTCACCTGTAATGATACAAGTAGTATTTTATAAACTGATGAATTGTGCTGAAAAGTCATCTGAAGCCTAACTACTAGAGCTCCTCCTACATTTCCAGACATTCAATTCACACATCAGTATGCATTTAACACTTGGAATGGGAAGATGAAAACTGATGTTGTGAATTTATACAAACAGAATGTGGTCTGCAACAAAAATAACTCTGATTATGATTACTAGAACAGTAATGTTTTCAAGGAAAAAGGAAACCTACAGTGTTCAATTTGAATAATGCAATATAATTTATAGTAATAAAAAAAAGGAAATTCCAAATAGCCTCAGCGCAGTGCGATGCATAAACTTCAATTAGTAACAGCTTACACAGAATCACAGAATAGTGATTACAGGAAAGTTGTTCCAAGGAAAGATTTAAAAACAAAATAAAAGCAAAATAAAAGACTTGTCCAGTAAAATTTTTCACAATATTCTTATATTCTTTAAATTCCCCAGAAATTAAAAAAAAAAAAAAAAAAAAAAAAGCACTGAAGAAATCTGCCTGAAAGCAGATTCAGATTTTCTGTGTGAAAGTGAGTATGAGTTAATGGCAACCTTCTATTATCAGAACTAAATTTTCATTACATTATATTGTATGCTAGCCTGGTTTTCACCTCCACATAACATGTTTTGGTGCTCAGTCGTTAAAGCCTGATACTGGAAGCACTTGAAGTAAAATATGATTGACTGATACTTACTAAACTAAGCTACAATTTTATATCTCTTCTAAGATGTTTTTTAACATATATTGCTATATAATAAATGTAAGCATAAGTAAATATATATATGTATTTACTTAGATACCTACATATCTGAGTAAAACAGTATAATATGCATTCTTAAAATTATTTAATATTCAGCTAAGGGACATCTGATACTACAGAGACAATTCCAGGGCAATTGTTATTAACTCAGCAGTTCTGCAGTCCTGTTTTGTAGTTAAGAATGTATAACTCTAGTTTTACTTGGATTTAATAAATCACAGATAACATACGCAAGTTTACAAAACGTAAATTTTGGAAATACTAAGCAGCAAATATTAAATTAATTTATAATGCAAAATAAGTCAGTTGACTCTATATGAATCATAATGTTCCAACTCCAAAGTATGTTGCCATTTGAAAAGTACTTTTAACAAATACTGTCAGTTGTACAGAGCATAAGTTTAGCAAAGCACTTATTTTTACCTGTACAAAGATAATGTAACCAAGTAAGCTTCCTTCCACTAAAATGCTGACTGTAAAATAATTCAAACTGCAAAACAAAATGAACTTCAATTAGTCACACATCTAACTACTTACAATAGTTTATTATCACACTACCACCCCAGTGAAGAAATACTGGTTTTATGTTCACCATATTGGACGCAAACATTGCAGACCAATTCATGACAGCATTTTCCTTTAGAAGATGGATGATGGACTGAACAACAGTCATTTACTGAACTACTTGATGTTAATATTAATATTAACATATCACTTGATGACTAAATCAAAAAGATTGTTGACACATTCATACTCTCAAGCATAAAATACTGTAGTTAAACAGTGTTCCAAAGAAGTATCAACTCTACTGAATTTAGAAGAATTTCTAGGAGGTTTAGCAATCAATCTTATTGGGTTTTATTATTCTGTTCCTTCCAATTCCATATAAAAACAAGTGTATTTTTATTTTTTCACCTTGGTGAAATCGTTCTATATTCCATGGCTTTGATATCCTATTTAAAATCAATTCAGAAAATCCATTTTACTATTGTTTTTTTTTTTTAACAACATCCTTCTTTTAGTTAACAGGTATTTCCCATGGTCAGTTACACATTGACTTTCATGACGAAACTCATCTTACATTCCTGAACATATTTTTAGGGGGAATTCCAAAAGAGCAAGCTTGAAAGTGGGCATGGTTTCTGCCATCTTCCAATTTGGGTTTCAGTCTAGACACAACCACACAGTTTGCAAACATCTCAGAATCAAGAAGTGACTACAGATCCTCAAATTTCTGGTGAAACCTTCCAAAACCTATTTTCACAAAGCAGCACACATTTATGATTTAGGAAGTAACATTTCAAAGTTGTTCTGACACCCAAAAATTGAAGCATCCTCTCAAAATCAGTATTTTAAAAATCTTATATGCAAAACTAGCATTAGTATTAATGCTAATTTCTTCCTTCTTTTTTTTTATTTTTACACGAATTTCTTGTCATTATGAGAAGTGCTACATCAGTCATTCTGGAAAGCATTTTTTACTGTTACTTAAATTATACACACACGAATATATATCAGAACAGGAATATGAAAAAAATTACCTCTAAGCAAGAAAAGGCCTTAAAAACAACTTTAAAATTCCTCTCTAAGAAATGAAGTTTTTGGTTTTGTGCAAGTGAAAATTAGCCAGTTTGAAATCTGGCACTAAATGGCACAAACTGGCTACTGCAAATAAGACCAGAAGACTGTAGGAATGCAATTCCTAGAAGATTCTTTCAAAGCTATGTTTATGTACATTTAAATGTCATTTTCACCAACAGAGAATATAAGAAGGAAGGGCATAAATGACCTGTGGACTGTATAAGAGAAATAAAATTTACAGAGAAGCAGCAAAATCATCTTATTCTCATATTATATGCAGTCCATCAATCCTGCCATTCCTGGAAACTAGCAAGCAGTGGAGGGAGAATAAGAAAAATTCCTAGGAAACGAAATGAAGCACCGGATTTTGAAGAACAAATGAAGATATTCCAGAATGGGGGGGGGAATCTTTTGAGGACATGGCTTTCAGCTTACTTACTCTGTGGGCTAAACTGATGCAGAAAAGTTACTCCAACAGGAAGGAAAAGAAGAATTTCTCCAAAGACTAAAGTAGAAGTTTATGGCAAGGCTTGTAAAAATCAGATTTTATTTTAACATATGTAATATAAGAGTCTGATCATTTTGCTTGTAAGGAGAAATATAAAAATGGGGATTTTTAGTAGCATTTTAGTAGCTAGAGCATTCTCTTGGATGTCCTCTGAAAATAACTGAAATTTGGCTGAAAATCCAACAGAAAAATTAAAATACAAATTTGACCTTAATCCTACGTATTATTCCTATAGCCAAGAAGAATAAATCAGACTGCATATATTGGCAAGTGCCTGCTAAACCTTAGTTTTAGTATTTAAGCAGGTTTGGTGTTTTGGGTTTTTTTGTTTGTGTTTTGTTTTTTGGGGTTTTTTTTTGTTGTTTTTTTTTTTAAAAAGAAAAAAATTCAGAAATTTTGCTCTCATACTTCCTATCTGAAAGAAGCAAGAAAGTGCGGCTTGCAGACTAATCCTAATTTAAGGTCTAGCTATTTTTTGGCAATGAGAAAAACTTAAGCAGATTCAAAGAACCTTTCCTTAAAATTGAATCAAACCTCCCTACACCCCATGTAGCCAACACTGTGTACACATCAATTTGGCTTACTCTGATTTGGTCTGGCAACGCTGATTAACATCGAAGGAAAATACAAGAAGGGGGACTTGTGACCTCTTTAAGAATCTGGTGTTTTTCCACCCACAAGCTTATGTAGTATGAAAACCAGTATCTGTATTCAAATAAATATATATTTATAGGAAGCTCCAGCAGTCTCAGAGCCTGAAAAAGCTGCTAAGCAGTTTGTCCAATTACAGAGGTACTCCAATACTTTGGAGTGCAACTGCAAAATGTTTTTTCTTTCTAAATCCTGGCCAGAATCCTGAGAGAACTCTCTCTTCATGGGTCAAATGATCAAATTTGACAGTAAAGACAGATGATGTCAATTTTTTAAAGACTCCCCAAGGTCATGTTCTGTTTCCTCAGGAGATTATGAGTGCAATTTAGAGCATTAATTCCAGCTAGGTGACACATGAACAAGTTTGCTCCTTTGAACTGGCAAAACAGTGAAGCTAGGCAAGCAACCCAGACTCTGAGCTGCTTCTAATACACAACTCCATAACAATTTTCCACTGAGGCACAACTGACAATACCCGTATTTTAAACCCACAAAGAAGAGCAAAATGTCATCAATCACCTTCTGTGGATCCCATAGTATGGGTTGGAAACTATTATATTGCTAAAACCAAGGGCCACGTAATACAGGGGAAATAAAAGCAGAATAAATAGTTCTAATACATAGTAGTAATACATGAAAAAGCTCCTTCACCACAGAAACAGACATTTGCCATTATAATTTAGATCAGATAGCAATTTAAGTTATAAAACCTGCTTAAAAAAATCTGTTATGTCCAATAATACGAAATTTTTATTGCCTAAAATGTGCTTCACCATTAAACACATTTTAGCAAAGTCTATTTAGGCATATTTATTGCCTAAAATGTACTTCACCATTAAATACACTTTAGCAAAGATCAACACACATATTCTGTATTTTAACACAAACATTGTACCGATAACATTTAGAACACAATAATATAATCAAAAGTAATAAAATATTCCACCTCTACAAAGCAGAAATAATCACATAAAAAGAGAGTATGTGGCCAAAGTAAAACCTTTTCTGCTTTGAGAATTTGCAAAATTAGCTTTAAAGAAGTTTGTATGAAGCTTAATTTTGAATGGCTCCTATGAAATATGGGACAAGAAATCTGTATCTGCATTTTAATCTGCTATTAAATCTGTTCAGATTTAATATTAGAAACAAAATCTTCTTTTATCTAAAGATTAGGAATTGGTTTTTAAGCTAAGAATCAACCCAGTTCATCTGATTGTATTTATTAGTATCTCCCTCAATCACAAAGTGTAGAAGACAGATGGGAAAAATGAGGAAAAGCTATGCAAATACATACATAAATTCAGTATGTCATTTGAGTCACCTTTCCAAACTTCATATGGACTGGAAACAGGATAGCCATGATTTACAAACAAAATGAAGCAGCTCAGGTTTTTCTCTGTTAGAGTGATCTTTTATTTGGAGTTATTTTACATTTTCCACATGTTTACAAGAAGCCTCCTACTAACCTACCATCTGTACACTTTTTTCCAGTTCCTGAGGAATTGCAAATGTAGAAGAAGGAGCCTGAGTTAGAGGCCATGCACCAGCCTAAAGGTATCAGGAAAAATAAAAGCATTAACATTTTTATACAATAGATACATTAAGAAAAACATAACACTATTAAACAGATCTATAGTGTGTATTATGCCATAAGACATTCAATTTAGACCCAAAGTTTTACTGCTCATTTTTTACTACTCATTATGCATGCCCCACTGAGGTATTGATTCAAGACAAGAACACAAGTCATTTTACATCACTACTGTTTATGTGCTAGTGGGTTAATTTTAAAAAGAAAAACTAGGAAAATAAATTATTCCACAATGATCACAAGGTGTCAGTTTCCATACGAGAAGTATTCATAGTTAGAAAAATTGTTCATTTGTTATCAAAACATAAAAATTAAGTACAAATAACTCAATAGTAATAAACATACATTAGTACCTGTAGAACATATATCTGAAAACTAATTCCCAAATCTATAATTGTGTCCTGGTTTTTGATAAAGTTGTTGAATTTATTGTTGAGATCAGCACTAACACTCATGTCTGTATACATTCGATGGAGCTTGCTCGTAAATTCATAACCACAGGCTTGCTGTGAAGAAATATTGTAACAGGTTTCACAGTGAAAACAGTACTTAGATAAATTATGCATATTCACTACTAAAACATGAAAATCTAGTCAGCAGAGCATTGTTATAATATTTACACTAGAGAACACTAGATACAATAGAAAACAAACATTACAAAAGAAAACTATCAGATTTATCTTAGTTTCACTTTCTATACATTGATTTATATGAACAATGTTATTTTATAAAATTGAAAGATAGAGCTAGTTTATGAAAGTCCTTGGTACTTTTATATTGTAAATATGAATTATTTGAACACACTTAATAATACAACCCAAAACCTCATAAAAATCTAACGCCTAAGTGATACTTGGCCATCTATCTTTCACAGACTACCAAGAAATTAGTTTTTCCTTTCAGCTATTGGAAACAGGTTCTACTGATTGCTAAGTTATCTCTGGCACCCTCTGCTGCTCCCTCTCAACATTACATACTCCTATGTTTGTTTATTCTGCATTAGAAGAGTATCACATTACCTTTAGTTTATTAATCATGGCTTCTTCAGAATCCATAGACATAGACAAACCATGAATTAATCTTTTTGCCAACATTCTGGCATAGAACTGCATAAAAAAAAATCAGATATGAGGATTTTTAAAAGCATAACCACATTCTTAAATGCAACGTTTTAACATTTATTGAATATCAAAAGTTACCTTTTGGAATACATCTTTGTCATCAATGTATTTGAAAACAGTAATGAAACTTGTAAGTTTGTCTTCCACTTCATTCTCTGTCATTCCTTTTGCTGATTTCTTCAACAAGTTGTCACAATACTTGGCCAGCTCAAGTTAAAAAAAGAAAAAACAAACCCAAACCTACTTGTCAAGCTTGAGAACAAATGTATGCCAAGGTATTCTAAACTTGTACACAAAAGTTAAAGCATGAAATAAGTCACAGTCTATAGTCTCATGTTGTATTACAAGGGCTGTATTCTTAGGTAAATGGCATATACTACACCCACAGAAAATACAAATTCTGTGTCAAAAATTACAATTCCACCAATTTTGCACACCCACAAAATATGTGTGCAGGTTATGTTATTTATTACTATTGAAATACACACCTGAGGCTGACTTAGTGTGAGAAATGGATATTCATGTGATGGACCCTATGCCAACTAATTTGACAGTTATAAAAAAGTATTATTACTTTCTACGATGATATACATCACTTACCAACTCAGGTGCTTTGCAGATCGACTTGGGCTCCCTGTAGTTAACTACTGATGTCAAAGCCTACATAGTAACATAGAGCAAAGAGAAAAAATGTAAATGACTTAAAACTTTTTCTTTTATGAAATTTGAAGAAATCAAAAAAATGTTCAGGGCAAAGACCATTGAGACCCCATAAAACTGAACTACACAAAAAGGGACCAAAAAAGAAACAATGAATAAAAGGGTCTGAATTACTGCTCTGTGAGAATTTGTGTGTTGAACATTTTAAAGTTGAGATTTAAGTAGAAGTGGAAAGAGTAGAGGAACAGAAGTTAATTGCAGAAAGCAGGAGAACAAATTAAGTTCTGATTAGAAACTTAAATGTAAAAGCATGAAGATTTTGGTATACAGCAATATGTATGGTCCAAAAGTATGGATGGAAAGAAACTGAGGAATAATTGCAAATAAAGCAGATTTGAGCAGCAGCACATCAACAGCAGCTTACATCAACAGCATGTATCTTGAGCTGAAAAACATACATGGTATGCTCACAACAGTAAGAAAGGACAGATCTTTTGGTTGTTGGACTTTTTGATAGACTAAAGAAGAGAAAAAAATATTGTTGAAAGTGGAAATTCAAAGCAATGCAATACAAAAAATATGGTAGCTGAAGAAAACCTGAATATGAGAAAAAGGAAAAGGAAGGAGATAACGGCAGTTTAGAATCGGAAATTGTAAATAAAGATACCAGAATCATCAAGATTAGACATATATCACATTTAAATTAACATTTTAAACTAATACGGAACCAAAAATATTGCATGACCATAGTTCCTAGGAATTATAGTTCCTTCTATGGAAGGAAAACATTATTATTGTTGTTACTATAAAGAAGAACCAACAAGCAACTCTTTTGTATGATGCTTCGACATTCCAACATTTCATCCAATATCCTTAGAATCCCTGTGAGAAAGAAATGCATGACTTGACACGAAATATGAAACTCTGAAGCTTAAAGCACTCTTTTGCAATAATACTGGAGGCAACAATAGCAGTTTTGATACCCACCATGAAAAACTGACAGCAGATTAAGCTTTTAAATATTTATTGCAATAAATATCACTGAAGTGAAGAATCAATGTATTTAAGGAAAAAGTACATTGCCTATGTGCTAGCAAATGTAGTTGTCAATCTCATGTTACTCCACCTTCTGGTACATGACATTAATTGCAATTGAGACAGAAATGTATTAGGGTACTGAAACAAGCATTTGTTTTAAAATACTAAATAATTATTTTCTCAATATCACAAATACAGATGAGTAACTACTATTGATATTATTACTGGTATTTTCATCACTATGTCTTTCCAGATTAACCTTGGCTGAAAATTACCAAAGCTTAGACTACGACCCTAAACCGCAATTACTGTAAACAGCACAAAAGAGCAATGAAATGTATGTATGCATCCTATAACAGGAAATTATACATAGAAAAGTAGTAGGTGCACTCACTAA